ATAGGTGGGCGACGCCGGCACGAGCTGAGCCTTGATGCAGGGGCAGCCTCACGGGCGGGAAGCGCTAGAAAGCCGTTTTGAAAAGGCCGATCTTGGGTCACAAAAGGCATTCGCTGGAGACAAACTGGAGTGCCCGGAAGGAAAATCCCAAATCCTGACTTCTCAGCGCAAGGGTCACAGCACAGGTGCTTGCCCAAGTTGGAAAGGCGCTCTACACACTCCGAAGACGTTGTTTTCTACGCAGCTTCACCTCTCACTGTCCCTGTCCCTCGTTTAAAGGAAGGGGCTGCCACTGCGGATGGGAGTGCCCCAGGAGGCCGGCCCGCACGGCCCGTGCCTCGCCTGCCTTGCAGCCGGCCTGGGCACCACGAAGGCGGCAGCTCAGCGGCTCCCCTGGACTCCGCTGTGAGGACGCTGGACAGCCCTGTTGGAGCAGCCAGCCGGTGGCCTCCTTTGTCACCGGTCGTGCCCTCCGTCCCCCAAAAGGGACACCGCCAGGCCCGCCTCAAGCTCCGGGAGTTAGCGGCCACTGCCGGGCAGATGCCGACTTGAGGGGCCCCCGACTGGGCCCGGCGTGCAACGGGGCCTTCTTCATGGCCGCGCGAACGCTCCCACCCGGGTTTCACTGGCCGCCTCCCTCCTCTGCTTCCGCCACCTCAGCATTCCCGCCCGTCCGTCCGTCCAGTCGGTGCTCTTTGTCTCTGCCTGGCGTCTGAGGCGGACTGAAGGTTTCCCGGGACTGCTGACCAAACTCATTGTCCTCGCCTATGCGTGGTCCCCTGCCCTGAAGAGGAGAGGCAGGAGAGCTCTTCCGGCTGAGTTTCTGGGTGTGGCGGGGAGGGCCAGAGCCCCTGGCTGGTGGCTGACAGGCGGACGCAGCCCCAGGCCTCGCATGGCCCTCCCTGCCCCCTCCAGCAACCGCCCGCAGCCCCCTGCTTGGCCGCACCACACCAGCTCCTCCGCTCCCCGGAAGGAAGGAAGATGGCTGCCCTGCAGGATCAGGCCGCACCCCCTGCCCGCCCGCACTCCTCTTTGCCTGGGCCTCTCCGTTTCCCCTCCAAACGCGTCCCCAGCGGGCAGCCGCTCAGCAGCCACATCCAATCGATTATCTGAAGAAATTTGGAGCCACTCCTGCACACCTGCAGCCGGCCTCCCCAGCGCCCCCTGGGGACACCCCATCTTTGGAGGCAAGAGGAAAACAGCACCGCGAGGAGGGGGAGGGGATGGCACAGGGGGATGTTAATGAGGACTGGCGGACTGCGGCTGGGAGCTGCAACATGGCGTGGACGCCGAGCAGTGTCGTGGGGGGGGGGGCAATGGGCGGGTTCCTTTGTGTCCATCCTGGCGCACGCAGCACTGGGAACCCCTGGAGCGTAAGCACTGGGAACAGGCGCTGGGAACCCCTGGGCCTGTCCAGGACCCCCTGCGGCAGGAGAGCGCTGGCCCGGGGGCTGGAGGCCCTTCTCCAGCCATGCTGCTGAGGCCTGGCTGGACCTGCCTGCAGGCCAGAGTGTCCCGGGCAGCGCACTGTGGGCCGGCCCAGGCCGAGCCCTTTTGCTGCGCCCCTGCCCCCACCGAGACAGGGCCGAGGACTGGCTCCCAGTCCCGCTCCAGGGTGCAAAGAGCATGTGGGGTGGGCTTGGGGCTGCGGCACGTCAGTGGGACCCCGCGCAGGCTCCCTGCCTTCTCTGCAGATAGTTGAAGGATCCGAGCTGCTGGGCCCACATCTGGAGACAGGCACCCCCCGGAGTCCTTCCTCCTCATCCCACAGATGCGGGATGCGGCCAGCCCAGTATGAGCTTCCCCCCGAAAGAGTTCATTGCGAGGGGAGGGGACTGGCTGCAGTGCTGGGAAAGGCCCCCCAGGCCTCCTTCACCCACGGGGCACAGCCTCCCTCTCAAACCTGGCTGAGGGCCCCCGCCCACGGGGGAGGCCTTGTGTCCCGAGAACGTGCTCAGCTCCTCCTCTGGAAACACGAAGCGGCTCCTTCCGGGGCGTGTGGCGTGGCTGGAGCAAGGGGGCCAGCGCAAGACCTTCCCGCACGTGCCTTGGGGGTGCCCAGCTGAAGCCGCTTCGCCCCGTTCCCGGGATGCGCACCCCTGCCCTCCCTGTGTCAGCAATTCAGGGGTTCTGCTGGCATGCCGGCCCGTCCGTGCCAGAGGCTAGGGGTCGGCTCAGCCGCTGGGGCTAGAGTCGCAAAGCTTTCCCCTGGAGCCCTGAACCGGGGGGGGGGGGCTGTTTTCTGCCCTGCTGGCCGCAGGCGCTAGCTAAAGAAATAAAGGTGCAGGAGCACCGTGATCCACCGGGAGCAGCCAGCTTCCCCTCCCACCTGAGGTTTGCTTCTGTGCCCTGGCCCCCAGCCCTCTTTTTACCACAGGAGACCACGGCCTTGAAAGACAGGTGGCCTTGGGAGCACCTAGACATACATGTGCAGCTGGGTGGGATTGCTGTCCCATGTGCCTGAGCCCAGGTCTTCTTGGGGCTTGGCACCGCCCCTGCTTGGCACAGGCCCTGCCAGCCTGGGAACCTGGCCAAACTGGTGGCCTCATGGCGTTGGTGGCCAGGACAGAAATTCCCAGGATAAGGGCGGAACAGGCTGTGCCGGCACTCGCCAGCCTGCCTGACGGTAGGGCTGGCTCCTCCGTCGTGCCGGGATACAGCTGGGCACAGAGCCAGCCCTTCTGCCGCAGCCCCGGCCAGACGGGCACGGGGCGGGGGCCCCTCCCTCAGCAACCTGCCTGCCCCTTCCCCACCGCGATCATTTCATGCTTTGGAGCGTAAGATTTGATTAGGCTGATCCGAACCGGCGCAGCCCGTGACCATCAATTACCGCTTGTGAAATTACCCAGCTGCTACCCAGCGCGCCCCCAAGATGGGGATTTATTTATTTATTTACGTGGAAAGAAATGGACACCGCACTTCCCCCCACCATCCTTCCCTCGCTAGGTCATTCTCCTCGGCCTTGAAGACTTTAATATTTTCCCATTTGCTTACAAAATCGTAAATGAGAACAACACACTCTTGTCTGTTCTAAACCAAATAACAGACACACACATAAATGCACATAAACATTAAGATCCCCCAGAAACAAAGGTCCCTCCCCGTACCCTAGGCCTTTTCCCCAAAAAAGTGCATAAATACTGCAAATAAATAATATCTTTAAAATAAATACATTAAACAATAGATAAACATGTTCGTGGCACAGAGGCATTGCTCAGGAAGTCAGAAGGAGCTCTGCCGCTTTTCCTGGCACTCCGGACTGAGAGCCAGTCCGCGTGTCCCGGGAAGGGCAGACAACCTGCTCTGGAGACTGTGCGGAGGGCTGGGCTGGTGGACAAACAGCCCTGAGTGGCCACATGCGCCGGCCCTGTGCTCTACGACTGGGATGCAAGAGAGGGAGGCAGCAGGAGGGGGCCGCCCGGCCTCCATCCCTTGTTTCTGAGCTTCCTGGGGAACGCTTGGCTGCGGCCAGAACGCAACCCGAGCGAGAACGGGCCTTCCCTAGCTAGCCGGACGAGCGTGGGGCAGGAGATGGCACAGTCCAGCGCACGTGGAGGGCTCCAGGATGGTGAAGCCTGCTGAGGCTGCCCCCCCACGGCTGGTGCCCCCAAAGCAAACGGGAAGGGGGGGTAGCTCAGCGAAAGGCCCCGGCTGCATGCCCAGCAGCAGTTCCGGCCAGGCAGGAAAGAGCCGTGCCCTGGAGGGCCGGTCGGGGCCAGCAGGACAAGCAGAACCAAGCCAGGCCGACTGCCCCGGCAGAGGCACCCTTGTCTTGCGTGGGTGGCTGGCTTCGGCGGAAGGAGAGGAAACCACCGAAGGCAGCCGGAAACAGGACGGTGCTCCTGCCTCATTCATGGGCGTGCAGAAGGCGATATGCAGGCGGGCCGAGCCGTGACCCAGGAGCCCTCTGCTCGATCCGGCCACCCTACAGTTAGAAGGGGCGAATGAGCACAGAGAGCGGGAAGTGAGCATCGGGTCCCTCGCTACCCGTTCGCAGCACAGCTGGGACCGCTGGGCCCGCGGACCACGGACACTCCCGGCGGGACAGTGCCCACATTCTCGTGATCTTTCTTGCGCGTTTGCTCCCAGGTCTCACGCCACGCCCCTGCTTTGCGCTCAATAGCAGCCGGGCGGGAAGGCCTCTCTGCCCCCAGGCGAAGAGCTGGCGGAGCAGCCGCAGGGAAGGGTGGCAGGGCCGCTTCTCAGGGCTGTGCTGTTTTGCACCAGTTAGCCGAAAGCCAATGGTCTTCCCGCGCACGCTTTACTGATATGTGGTTGGGAGGAAAGCACTCAAAATGGCAAACTTTTGTGGAGAAAGCTGCCGCCTCCGAAGGCTCTGTGAGGCGCCGGGGCGTCCTCTTAATTTGCCTCACTTCCGTGTCTGTTCTCTGGCCCCAAAAAGATGATTTCGGAGCTGCTCTCCCTGTGTGCAAGGAAACTCCCGCAGGGGGAAGCATCAGCCACCCCCACCCAACCCCCCTCTCCAGAGATAAAATGTGCCAATTTTCATGTACCTAAGCTAACGTGTTAAGCATATATGCAGCTTTAGAGGTGCCCATGGAGATTACGTGGGGGCATGAATGCACGCAAAAAGTTTGGAGGCGGAAATGAATGAAAGCCCAGGTGGGGCAGGGAGAGCGAAGGGCCGTTTCACCGTCTGGGGCAGCAGGTGGTGCCCAGTCCTGGAGCCGGAGAGCCTCCGGTCTTGGTTTGACCCCTCAGATTCTTGGAAGCGCCATGGTGGGATTCCGCTTGCCGAACGAAAGAGCAATCAAGCTGTGACTATTGTCCATAAGCCAGGCGGGGCCGAGACACCAGTCACACATTCCCCTCGGGGGACGGAACAGGGAGGCAGGTACGACTCGACTCGGAGATGGCCAGAGCGTTGTTCAGGAGCAGTCTGGCCCAAAGGCAAGTTCGGACTCGGTGGGACTCGGGCTTCCGACATGCGGGTCGGCTGGGAAGTGTAGCAGCTGGAAGAGTGCCGCAGATCCAGAGGCTCAGACATCAAGGACGTGGTTCAGGTACGAAATGTAGCAGATTGCAAGCCGCAGGATCTCGATCTTGGACAGCTTCTTGTCCGGGGGGAGCGTGGGCAGGAGCTTGCGCAGCTCCGCGAAGGCCATGTTGAAGGCCTCGACGCGGATGCGCTCTCGCGTGGCGTGTGCCGTCCTGTACTTTGCTGTGGCCCGCCTCCGTCGCCGCCGCTCTTCTCGGCTGAGATGCTGCAGGTCTTTCTTCACGGTGTCGCCGGACTCAGCCGCACGGGGCTGGCTGCACAGGCCGAGGCTGCCTCCGTCTTCAATGCTGAGCGTTCGGCCTCCGCCACAGTCACTGAAGACCGACTCCGTCTCGGAGTGCGTGGGCTGCAGGTCGATTTCCGTCTGATCTGAATTGAGCATCATGGCTTCCGGAGGCCCAAGAGGCAGTGCAGGGGCTGGAAGGCCTGGAGGAGGAAGAGCCCAGGGGCCTCCAACTGCTGCGTCCGGGAAAGGAGGTAGAACGAGGGGCGGCGTCCGGCTAGCAGGGGACAGGCTGGAGCAGCCTCAGGCTCCAGGCCGAGGTTCCACCGCGCGAGGGGTGGCAGTGCCCACAAGTGCTTCTGCTGCGGTCATTCGGTCGCTCTGCTTGAGCTGCGCTGGCCTGCAGGCGACGCTGAGCCCTGGGCAGACCGGCGCTGGCGCCCTGTCCTTTCAGCCGTGCAGCATTGAGGATTTCACCAGTCTGTCCAAACAAAACACGAAGAGAAACAAAACGGTTCTTACGCACTGAAAGAAGGAAAGTAGAACGAATGCTTTAATATATTCGGGAACGAACGAGCGGTCCTTCGGCGCTTGCAGGGCCTTCGGCATGTGCTGCGCATGCGAGTGCGTGGCAGCCCTGCAGCCACCTGGGTATCCACTTGTGAATCGCCCCGGAGAGGAAAAGCATCACCAAACACACCGCTCGGATCCGCGTGATGCTTGCATTTGCATTTACACAAACAGATTTCCATTTAGAAATAATTAATTTAAAGAGGAGTACAAGACTTCTTCCCCACAGCGGGACCGGCTGGAGGTGCTGGTGGGCACCTCAGGCCTCTATTCTCGGGGTCCCTGGGCCAAGCAGCACTTTGAATGTGTCTGTTCTGTGCAAAAGAGGACAAGTGGCCACCCAAAGGAGGGTAACTGGGGGAGAGAGGGAGAGAGAAGCATTTGAAAAGAAAGAAGAGGAGGCAGGATGTGTGAGGGAAACGGGAGGTAAATGCCCCCAGCGGACAAGGAAGGTGCTCCTACCAGACGGTGGCCATGCAGAAGAGGGAGAAGGAAATCGGGGAAGGGCTGGCTGGGCGGCAGCAGCCTCGGCGTGACAGGAGAGGAGCTGGCCCGGCAGGTGCAGAGCCTCCGGGAAAGGGGGGAGGCGGCAAGGGCAGCACGTGCTCCCTGGGCCCAGAGGGGGCCGAGGAGCCGGGGCCAGGCTTCGGGGCTCACCTCTGCCCCATCTTTCCAGAGGGATGGCGGGTGGCCAATGGGCCAACGGGACCGCAGCCCCGTCTGGCTGGAGAAGAGGGATGGACGGCTTGGGATGGAGCGAGCCGGCCAAGCGCTGACCTTGCTCTGCTTAAGTGGCAGGGAAGGAAGGAGGGAGGGGCTGCTGGTCCGCTAGTCCTCTGCATTTAAGCTTAAAACTGAGATGCTCTTTAAGCAGGAAGCCTTATCAAGGACGTGCTCAGATGGCACTTCAGTGGGAGAGGGAATGAGTTTAGTAGGTTCTGGAGCTCCAGCATCTTAGAATCTTGCAAAATAAACTGCAGGTCTTATTCAGAGGCATTTCTCCTTTGTACATGCACAGATGCCATCGAATTTGCTACCACAAAGGAAGGAAGAGGGGAGGAAAAGGCTATCAGGTGAGGGTCAGCAAATTGCAGCACCAGTTCAAGGGCTGTCAGCAGCTTTTTCCTTTGGTATTCTTTAATCTTAATCACATTAACAGAAATGTTTAAGGGCTGAACAAAACAACACAGTATAGGATCATAATGCAATATTATATATCACTGATAGAGAAGTCAGGATTAACTGGGGATGCTTATTGGAAAAGGTGCCAAAAGCCCAGTTAGATTGTAACCTGTCTAATTTGTAGCTGGGGGGGGGGGGCCACTGAGCAGGTGCCACGAGCTGAAGGCCCCGTGCAGGGATGGACCAGCCCTCTGAAACAAATGCCATGCCCTAAACCTGGCCCAGTAACCTCTGGACGGTTCCTCCAGGAAAGGTGTGGGATGCTAGCATTGGTTTATTGCTTTTTTCTTTACATTTGTCACTTCCAATCCCAAGCTGCCTGAGAGAGACTTGCAATGATAAAACGAAGCAGGAACAAAAATGCAATATTAAACTCGAAAACACACAGCACGGAGGACTCAGAGCAATGCTTGTAATCACAGAATGGATTGAATGCTCGAAGAGGGAGGGCTTAACCCGGGGTCTAGATGTGGACAAGTTGGGGGGCACCTGCTCCACAGATGGGAACCGCGCCAAGGGCCGAGAAGCAGTCACTGCCTGTGCTGGGGACAAGCAGAGTGGCAAGGAGGCCACGTCCCGCTCGTGGCCTGCGAGGAGCATCTGGCGGACCACGCGGGGCTTTGCTCATGATCTCAGTCCCACCACGGAGCAAAATTCATCTGGCCCCAGAAACTCCCGCTGAGCACGGAGCCCACGCACCAGCCTGGGCGGAGGAGCGCAGCTTGCGGGGCAGGGTGTTGCTCCCGCTGGAGTATCCTCCGATGGCTGAGCTCTTATCCACCCGGGAGTATGGAAGCGCTCCCTGAAAGGGGGCGTACCTGGCGCCGCAGGTGTTTACAAAGAGGCAGGTGCACATGAGCACAGGCTGGGAGGCTCCGGGAGGGTGCAGGGCTGACGCTGGCTCCGAAGCTCCGCTGGCTCCCTCCCTGGTTTCTGGGCCATGGCCCGATTGACGGCAGCCCCCCTTGAGCCTGAGGTTTGCCTTGCTAAGAAGACACGCACTTTTTCACTCTGCAGCAGCGTTCCCCAGCCTGGTGTCCCGCAGAAATGTTAGACGGCATCCCCCGTCAGGAATGTGCTGAGGGCAAGAAAAGGTCCCCCTTGTTCATTTGCTGACCGTGAGAGAAGCAGGCAACACCAGCAAATAGTTTTTTATAAATAAAAACCCTCTTTATTGTTGGTGTACGCTAGCAATAGAGTGGGGAGCCCGTCTCCAGCTGCCACAGTGATCATGCAAAGTGAATTTATACGTTTGGCTGTTTGCAATGATTGGTAACAAAAAAATGTCATGCAGGAAGCATTCGGTTACTTCTTTACATGGTCATCACAGCCTACGCTTCCTTTCAGGTCATACCTGATATCCCTCTGTGAGCACCTCAAAGGCTGCCACAAAGAGGAAGGCCAAGATCTCTTCTTGTAGGACATTATGTCAGTTCAAGCTGCGACACCCCAGATGCAGGCTGGACATCAGGAAAAGCTTCCTCACGGTCAGAGAAATACGGCATTCAAAAAGATCCTGGACAGCCACCTGAGTGGGATGGTGTTAGATGGTGTCCTGCAACAGCAGGGGTTGGACTTGATGGCCTTCCTGGCCCCTTCCAGCTCTGCTATTCTATGATCTGGTGTCACAGCATCTGCCTCCAGGCTTATCTTTGCAAATTCTGACCTTCTTGACAGAGGTTGATTTTATATTTTCAACCCTCTTTTGTCTTTCTGCTAGAACCCTACATAACTGACCCTTGTTGTTTGGTCATCAGGAAAAAAAAATACATTCTTTAAATGGGAATAGCTGGGGATGATGGAAGTTCCAGTTTAACATACCTGCAGGGCAACAAGCTGGGAAAGCTGTTTTGCAGGGTTCATTTGATTTGCTTGCTTGCTAGAGTTATATCCTTGCTCTTTTCTCTTGCAAAGAACTCGAAGCAGCTGATGTAATTGTAATTCTCTTCCCGCTGCTCTCAATCTTATCCCCAACAACAACCCTGTGAGGTAGGCTCGGCTAAGTCTGTGAGGGGCCCAAAGTCACTCAGTTGGGTCCATGGCTGAGTGGGGACTAGAACGCAGGTCATCTGAGTCCCAGCCCTGCACTCTTAGCCACTTCGCCACACTGGCTCCCCTCCCCTCTAGAAGTCAAGACCATTGGAGCAGCGGGCTCTTGACCCCAATGCACAGCTCGGAAAAGCTCGCCAATGCGTGCCGTGTGCCAAACTGGCTCCAGCTTCACGTGCCCGTGAGCTCCATTTCTGACGTGAATACTGCAGTTTTCCAGTATTAAAACGGTGCAGGACAATCGCTGGCACCCAGGAATGGCCTGCGCAAACTGACCAGAGCAGCAGGAAGTGAGGAAGGAGGCATCGGGCAGCAGTCCTGGGGGGCGGCAGCAGTGGCCCATGCACGCCCCCGCCTTTATCTGCACCACCAGGGGGGTGCTTGCTGGCTGACCCCAGCCTGAGAGGGCAGCCGGGGCTGCAGAGAACGTGCGAGTCCAGCCCCCGAGACACGTTCATGCTGGCACAGCCGAGCACCAGGAGGCCGAGGGCTCAGCACAGCGGCAAACGCATCAAGCCCTGCGAAGGGGTAAAGTTGGAGCCTGGCAGAAAAGCTGTGTGTCGTCCTCTGTCCTCTCACAACAATGTCCATCATCCTCTTTCTTTCCACAAAATAATCAATTAAGGAGGGAAAGATGGAACCGTGGGGAGCACTGGAGCACTACCTGAGAGCAGCCTCTCTGGATCGCTTCTCTGGTTCTGGAACTGACACTGGCTCGACAAAGCAGCGTGCAAGGCCCTCGGCATGCCAGTGGGGGACCAAAGCCCCTCGACCAAAGCCGAGGGCGGGCTGGGTTTGGACGTTGCCCCCCACGGCAGGTTCGCCGGCAGCTCGACTCACCCGCATGCAGCAAGCCTCCAGCTCAGCCTGCACAGCAGGGGCTCGTTTTTCTGCCTGCCTCTTTCCCACTCCTGGGCAGAAAATGCTGGGCTAGATGGACCAGAGAGCCTACTCCGTTTAAGAAATTCACCACTTCCACAACCTGCACGTAAAGTCAGACAGTCGGGTTGGCCCTACAGCTCTGCCCCAGAGGGATGGAGCCAAACTCCTTCCTGTTTAAGTAAACCGATTCTGCTCAAGTTTTAAGAATTTTGTCATAACATTAACACTCCCAGAACAACAAAGTACAATTCAGGGAATCAATCCTGGCACAGAATGTTCCATGATATGTAAAGCTACACTGAGCGAATGCAGAACTTCATTCAAACTTTGCTAGACTTCTCCAAACTTTCAGCTCACTCTTCTCCTGATCAGAGCAGGCTCAAACCAGCTTCACCTGCCTCATGGAGCCTCCCCCAGGATCAAGAGCCCAGACACCCCCGCACCTGCGTCTCGCTGCGCTCTTCGCAACCAAATCCCAC